TGCACAGTTTTTCTTTCGTTTTCTTAATTTATTATTTAAGTAAAAATATATTTCTCGTATAGGCCTATTTATCGTTATATACTGTGTGTGTATATATATATATATATATATATATATATATAGCCTAGTATATAACCTATATTTAAATAATATACTGAAATCACATATTCTAATTCACATTTTCATTTTGCCTTAGTAATGTTTGAGATTTCCAGGTCTTATGCACAGCTCTTTCGGCAAAATTAAAAATAAATAAATAAATAAATTTCACTCAAACCTGATCCTGTAGAGTGGTGTAGTGGCGTTTATATTCTGGAATGTGTATTGAGAAACATTTAATGCATTGTATTTTTTTTCTTCGCATCGTTGTGACCATGTGTCAACATGAATTATATGTGCAGATACAGAATGAGTGATTTCCCTATAGAAAGAAGAGCAAATCAAGAGGACTGAATGACTGGTCTCTGATTGACAGTCCAGCTTTAGCTCTCCAGCTCAAAGGAAGCAAGAACTTGGTTTCTCTGAGGAGATTCAAAAGGGTTTAAATGGACTTGCATATTTCTGTTTTTGTGTAAATGGTATAAATATAACAAACGCCTTTTAAAAATCACTCAAATAAGGTATTTTTCCAAAAATAATGCTACATCATGCAGTAGGACCACCTTACAAATGGATCCTGGATATTGTTTATCATGCAAAACAAATGCAATTATTTTTAATAAATTAAAAAAAAACTGCTTTGTTCAGAATTTTGTGTGTGTTTTACTGTAAGTAATTTTTACTTTTGATACAGCCATCTGTTTCTTTAAAAAAATAAAAATCAGCATACAGAGAACAATGTTTGCGTGTGTGTGTGTGTGTGTGTGTGTGTGTGTGTGCTCGTGCGCGCATTACATTCAGTCCAGTTGTCTTAAAATATAGATGGATTAAATAAACCAATGGACAAGACTGCATAGCACTTAAACACCTAAACACCTAACTACAGTGTTTGCATCTGATAAAGAAAAAAAAGCTGAATTTGCTGATGATACCACTTCAAAGCAATTTTTACACCCAAATGAGAATTTGTCTGTATTAGGTCTGAATTTAAATGTATTTAGTCCACATTGGTTACTGATAAAAAAAACAGTGTGTGTGTGTGTGTGTGTGTGTGTGTGTGTGTGTGTGCTCGTGCGTGCATTACATTCAGTCCAGTTGTCTTAAAATATAGATGGATTAAACCAATGGACAAGACTGCATAGCACTTAAACACCTAAACACCTAACTACAGTGTTTGCATCTGATAAAGAAACAAAAGCTGAATTTGCTGATGATACCACTTCAAAGCAATTTTTACACCCAAATGAGAATTTGTCTGTATTAGGTCTGAATTTAAATGTATTTAGTCCACATTGGTTACTGATAAAAAAAATAATAATAAAAAAATAAAAAAAACATTTGTTCTCTATACTCTTCAGTGAAAATATGGTTGATGATACATGGAATATTTAAACATATTATTTATTTGGTAGACTATACTACAGAGGTGTCTTAATGTGAATATTAGATGTTCTTTGTATAACCTGACACTTAGATGCTAAACACGAATATAAACATCGACAGACCAGCCAGCAAGTAATATCTGGGAAAGCCTTTTTACAGACCAGTGTTCTGCTTGCTTTAATAAACAATTGTAGCCTAAGTGATATAAAATTGATCTGTCATATATGATCATGTGATTGCATATGACAAATCAGTTTTACCAGTGCTGATCATCTGGGAGCTTTATTTAATATTTTATTAATAAATCCTAGATGGTACTAATAATCTCTCTGTAACTTTAAATTTACCAACCCCCAAATACTGACGTCAGCTGTCTCAGTTAACCCCTTTCCTGCCATTTGAATATCTCTGTGTTCTGTATATTAATTGTTTTATGTATTCCACACTAATATGCTTGCTTTTTGTTTGGAAATAAATAAATGTCAAACTGTACTTTTTTTTTAAAAGTTAGATTTTAAGTGTTTCCAGGATTTGGACAAAATCTGGAAACTTTGGAATTTGATGGCACAAAATCATGAAGCATAATCCATCTGAAAATGTATACAACAATAAAAAGCAATAGATTTCAGCAGGATTTTAAAATACATTCTCATATGTATAATACATATCCAAGATTATAATACACCAAAATCATGAGTTTCTGCTTTCCACTCAAAATATGCTGTCTGTGTGGAAAAAGTATTGCACACTTTATAAATTCACTTTAGCACTTTCAAGCATCATTCAGTTAAGCATTTGTAATCATAAAGGGATAGTTTACCCAAAAATGAAAATTAATTTACTCACCGTAATGTATGACTACCAAACTTGCATGACTTTTTCTGTGGGGAAAAAAAAGGAGAAAAGTTGAATTCATACAGGTTTGGAACAGCATGAGTATATGTGAGTGCTTATACTGACACCTAAAGGTGTGGATGAAACATCATGCACAAGCAAAAGTGTAAAACAATGAGTTACTGACATAAAGTGAGCATTATTTGACCAGGATATATCTGCCCCTATGAGGCAAACCCCTTCACGTGCAATAATATATGTAGCCTTTGATCCCTACGAAGCAGTGTTCCCAACCCTGTTCCTGGAGGCACACCACCAGTACAAATTTTCTAAAACTCATCCTAATCAAACACACCAGATTCAACTCATTACCTCATTAGTAGAAACCTCAATACCTAAAAATGGTGGGTCAGATAAGTAAGACATCCAAAATGTTTATTGTTCATTTGCCTCTAAGGATGCATTCCACTTTTTTTTCTTTTATAACCTTCCCTCACTTTACTTTCATGTTATTGATTACGTTGCACGAGGGCCCACTTCTGGTGAAACTCTTGCAATGGCTGAATTGGAACGTCCTACACCCTTGATAACTTGCAAATCCGCTATGGGGTATATAAAAAAATAATTCATATATCATAGAGTTGTTTGGGGTGGGATCAATTAAACACAATCTTCCCTGATGTCACAATTGTGTTGCATTGTGTATATGGAGCTGCCTGATGTGTACATATGAAGTACATTCGCTCCCTTGGTCAAAATCAAAAGGTTGAGGGCCTGTCCATATAAACTTCCCTCAACCACTTCACGAAGTGGAACACACTTCAAAATGGCAGCAGGGATTTCCCAGAGGGGAAGT